GCTGCAGCCCAAGTAAAAGTGCAACAACTTTCAAATCGCCACAAATATGCCATTGGTGCTCATCGTATTTTATGCATATCAATAGGTACTTCATATTGTCATATGATTCTTTCATGTGAACTGCATACCTACAGGAAGAGATGGTAAAATATTTCCAATATGCAATAACACTGCCTTTAAACTCAATGTTGAACTGTCTATAAACAATCTCCATTCCTCTGGATTATAGTTTATATTTAAAGCCGCCAGTAAGCCGTTAATATTACTGCAGAAAACCAAGTTATTCTCCATATTGAAAAATGGTTCTAAGTCTTTGTGGCGTTTACGAAAAACACATACCCAAACATCGTCTTCTAACAAGTTCCACTGCTGCAGTCTTGATCCAAGTAACTCTGCCTTACATTTTGGATGTTCTAAATCTCTTACAAGATCATTTAATTCTGACTGTGTTATGTTGTGCGGTTGGTGGCATGACGTGCTCGGTATAAAATCAGGATCTCCTGACGTTGATGGCATATCTTCTTCCTGACGAATCACTCGATCGCCATGATCTGATTCGTTTTCTGATTCGCAAGAGTAGAATTCGGGGGGTTTTGGAATAGGATTTTCGTTACTGTGAGGCAAAGGTCTCCCCGCAGATGGTATGTTTGGGTAGTTAATAACCAATTTTTTTTCTTGGACATACCTGTGGCTTGTCCAACACAAGGTACCATGCAAAAGTAACAATCATTAATATGATTTGTAGGCTCTCTCCAAACCATTGGGACAGCAAAGCGCATAGACCGTTATTTGCCATTTAACCAGCTCCTCAGACTTGAAGCACATGTATTACAGCAGATGTGGGGTGCCCACTGTTTGTCTTGATCACCTAGTTTACAACCGAAATAAAGCTGATATGCCTTTGTTATTAGTGGAGTAATAGACCGTCACTGAGACGCAAAAGTCACATCACCACACACGTAACAAAACTGCTCTGGATTGTTTACACACTTTCGAGACATCTTGCATGAACGCTGTCAGCCAACTGAGGAAAAAATGGCTAATATAAAACAATATAATGTGCACGTATGTATAACGTAATACAATCATGCCGATTACATCATCTTTCCTTGCCGAATATAAAAATGTAGCACGTGCATTCTTGTGAATTACAGTATATTAACACTGTCACAGCAGGAACACATATAATTACCGTATCTCTAAAACTTGAACTAATATTGAAAAAATAAGTTTCATTCCCATTTTAGCACATTAAAAATAGTAATATTTTGTTGATCTTATTTAGGATATTTTTTGGCTGTTGATCAGTGTAATTAGAATTTATCTCTCTTTTAGTATCATTCAAAGCAATTTTCAGGCAAAAAAACCCTGGGTCCCTGACAACATTTTACTGACGGCGAACGTGTTAAAAAATAAGTGGGGTGACACTGTATAAAACTTGTAGACATCATCCTCAAGCCATCGGCTGTACCTCCATTCCAGTCAATCTGTTTAACTTTTTACTGTTCAATTCAAGTAGCAGCAGAAGCAGCGGTTTTGTCCAAGTTGCGGTCTCGGTAGCAAACGCACATCCATCATCGTACGGTCGAACGATTGTCTTGGCGGCCGAACGCAGTAGGCCGTGGATAGTGGACGGATGCAACGGCAAAAAGCAATGGCGACTAGATAGTCCAGGTGACATCTGCCCTGTACTGAGATGGGCAATCGATTTTTTCTAAACTGAATCCAAATTCAAGATGAGATGTAAATAATAACAGTTAGCGCGTGATCTCTCGGTAACAGGAGGGGACAACGCCTCTTATTGGTCAATTCGCCATTAAATTTCAACCGGTCGCCTGGAGGAATAATGCGCGGGGCAAGGGCAGGGCAGGCAGAGTTGCAATCAGGCCACCGACCGTCGCGTGTATCACTGCGTGCTCGTGTTTTCGTATTCACCTTGCTTGGTTGTTGTTGTTGTGTGTATTTGAGTAATTTGTTAAGTTTCCGTTTGTTATTGTTATTCCTCGTTATTATTTGTTTTGAACCAATCCTGAACATGTCCAGTACAGATACTCCCTTAGCCCTCCTAGAAAGCGATAAAAAAAAGACATCTTAGCGTAGACATGAAAGACGTCATATTGAATACATTCAAGATAGAGCGGAAGGAAGATGAAACATCAACTAACCCGAAAATAGCTCTGAAAGTGGCAGATAAAATTGGGGTATGCCAAGCGACAGTATACAATGTTTCGAACGAACATAAGAAAAAGCATGCCTTTTCCAAGCCAATGACGGGTAAAAATCGCAAAAGTATCATAAGATCGAGATAAGAAACGAAATACCGACAGTTGATAAAGTAACACGGGAGGTTAACGAGGATGCCATGTTACCAAATTTCAAACGTTCGACTATTCATAAACTTTTGAAGCATCTTAATTTCGAATGGAAGGAACGAGGTCGTAATAGCTTACTTATGGATAGAGAAGAAATTGTTCTGTGGAGGAGAGAGTACCTGACCAAAATTACATCATTCAGGGATCAGCACAGGAAGATCTATTACCTGGACGAAACCTGGATCAACGCTGGGCACCCTACTCCGAAGGTATGGGTTGACAAAACTGTGACTTCATCCAGAAGGACATCTAGATGGACTGTCGACCGGATTGAAAAATCCAGCAGGTAAATAGATCGAAGTAGTTCACGGTATCAATTTTTGCGCACAATATCTCTCTATCTTCGTACCTACAAGACGCGCATGTGTACTTAGCGGATTTTATCTTTCTAGGCAAAGGAAAAAGGCTCATTATTTGCCACATTGGGGGTGTAGAGGGCTTCGTGGTCTTTTGAGTAAAAAAAAAAACACCGACTACCATGAAGAGATGAATGGGGAAGCATTCGAGAAGTGGTTTTCAGGCATTTTACCACGCCTCGAAGACAATTCTGTGGTTGTTTTGGATAATGCTCCCTATCATTCTCGCAAAATAGAAAAAATCCCAACTTCAGCTTCTAGGGAATCAGACATTCAGAGCCGGCTCCGTTCCAAAAATATAACTTTCGACCCTTCCTTACTGAAATTACGACTATTAGATATTGTCAAACAACACAGAACAAGACATGATGAATATGTCATAGATGAAATGGCCAAAGCACACCACAAAACAGTACTCCGTTTGCAGCCTTACCACTGTGAGCTCAACCCCATTGAGCTCATATGGTCAGATGTTAAGAATTTTGTTGCTGCACACAATACAACATTTATATTTTCTGACATGCAAGAGCTGTTCAGAATTGCTATACAGAGGGTCACACCAGAAAGATGGCAAAAATGTGTGCAGCATGTTCAGGAGAAAGTGGAGGTAGCAATGTGGGAGCTGGACAACATAACTGAGAGAGATTCTGAATCCATCATCATAAACATTAATGACGATAGCTCTTCAAGTGAGACTGAGTAAGTTTCGCGTTTTTGTTTTGCCACAGAATACATATTATGGGAATCCTAGTTATAGTGAAATATTAACTTACAGATAAACTACAAACAATGCAAGTCCCTCGTTGACTACGGATTCCTTGTGCATAGTGAGCAGCTGGTTACCTCTGGTATGTATATCTCCATGTTGTCTAGTTTGTAAAATCTGTAGAAAAACTTAGCACCCCTTCAAGAATAAAAATTTGTTTTTGTGACACGCTTAACTATAACTGCTTCACTATATTAGATGATTTCGTTAAATACTGTCATCTTTGTTTTACAACACATTGGTGGTAGTCAATCATTCGGAGGTAGCCCTAAATGCGGCCCTGTACGCCGTCCTTGCTTTTGCCAATCACGCATCCATTCTGTCTTCGGTGTAAATACACTATAGTCGGTGCAAAATTTGAATAATAATTAATAATAATGTGATCAGTGAAATGCAACTTAGCCAAAAGGCTCCTCTTACATTTAACTTAACTGTGTGAAAAAAGCTAACAAAGATAAAAACACAAACAAAAAAGAATAATAATACGAAAATGAGAACTAGACAAAGTGGAAAGATTATGTTATTATAAAACTTAAATTATTACAAAACGGTTCCCTTTAGTGACTCGATTCAATTTTTCTGCTTCCACTCTCGGAACCGCTTTCTTCGATTCCGATTTCCGCAATTCCAAAATAAACCATCGTCATTAATGGGAGCTACAAAGGAACGACTCTAAAAATAGTCAAGATCTGTTAACTTGTTTAACCTGAATATCTCATAATTTTAATCCCCCATGTTTCTCTGCACGTATCAACAATAGGAGAGTATTAACATGAAAACCACAGCGCAAGTTTCACATGCTACATTAGTCTCATATTTTATTGCATATTCCGATAGACCCTTCAAAAAAAAAGAAGACTAATACAAGATTTTGTTTACTGTTTGTTGAGTTCAAGCGATTCAATGATCAAAAACAACAATCTTTGTCAGCCTGCCGGATCGCCATTTTGAAGGACAGTGATTTTAATTACTAGGTTATAAAGTATTCATAAGGAGCTTCAAAAAA